CAGAGCCCAAAAGCCATCCCGGAGGCGCCGCGCCTGCCCCGCAGCCCAGTTGCCCCCGAAGTCCGGTTTTCATAGAAATGCAAATCGCCTCGCGGCAGCCTTTCGCCCCGGCGGGGAAGAGGGGTGCAAGGGGGCCCGTCCTTCCCGAGTGGGTCCCCGGGATTTGGGGGTGGGGTGGGGGTGTCTGTGCATTGCGGGACAACTAGGAGGGCGGGCAGGCCACACGCAGCCTGGGGAGACCGCACGGAGGGGGGAATCTGAGGCGCGGTGACACCCCATGTCCGAGCCGGCAGAATGGGCGCATTTCTGGGAACGCCACGAGGGCACCCACGGGCGGAGAGACGGCCGAGGAATCTCGGCGTCCGCATCTTCTTTCATTTTCATTAACACGTGTAAATTTCAGGAACTATTTAACATGCAGGGACGCCGGAGAGAGCGCACGACCCCGGCAGGCTCCCTCGCGTCTCACTGGGGGGTTGCTGCAGATGCCCCATGGGGTAACCCTAAATGTTGTAAGGGGTTATCTGTCTAGCTTGTGCTCGCTTAAAAAATAAAAGAAAATAAAATAAATGCCCGAAAATTCCAGCAGCAGCCCAAGATGGTGGCCAGCATTTCCTTTATCCTGTCCTCGCCTGAGGAATCTTCGGGCTGTCTCTCTACCTTGACCAGTCCATCTTTGCGGGGGTCCCCGAATGCCCCCCTCCCCGTGCCCGCAATTTAACCAGGAGAAACACACTTCTGGATGGGAAGGGAAGCAGTGGCCCCTGTACTGACTCATCTTGTAATTAAGACAGAAATTAAAATGCTGGGAGTAGTCGTGTCTCTGCCAGGGACGTGACCACTGGAAACTTCCTAATTGGTTTTGTTGGGGGTGTGGACGTCCCCTCACCTTTAGAATCTGCCCCGGGGTGCATGCGTGAGCGTGAGGGGCCCGCAGAGCCCGTCGAAAATCGGAACAATTACCAGCTAAACAAATGGGTGTATTGATCTGATGAGTTTTAACAAGATCTATAGGTGTTTCCCGGCTATACGATAAGAGTCCCCAATATTACCACAGAGACATAACTAAAATACATATTTTTAAGTTAGAAGTTCTGCCTCTTTGGTTTTTTTTTAAAAGTAAAAGGACATTTTAGTCATTTTTTTTTTTAGTTTTTACAATACCTACCCCAAATGAAAAAAATTGTTCATTTACTTAGCTCTGAATATAGTTTTACTGTCACCAAACCACCGTGTCCCCCTAACAGTAAGGGCTCAAACAAAACGGATTTAAAAAGCCACCTCCCCTAGTCAAGGGTGCTCCCAGCAAGACGGGACCACCCTCCAGGGTAGATTCCTCCCGCGCCCCTCCCCCACCGGGAATTAGGGTTACTGATATTCCAGGTCCTGGGGCAATTGCCCCCGGATCCCTCATGGGAAGCGGTGGGTGGCCCGACCAGGGAGCACCCACCGCCGCGTCCCCCTCCTCGGGCACCCAGGCTCGTGCTGGCACGGGCACAGCCAAGCCTCAGAGCATCAGCCCGAGCACGAGGGCGGCCCGGCTGCTTTTTCATTCATAAAATCCCGACCCGGCGGCCGCCCGGGTGATTTATAGGGCGGCGCGCTATCACCCGGCGGCTCCAGTCCCGGGGGGCGCGGGGGCCCGAGCCCCGCGTGCGCCGCGCCGCAGCCCGAGGCGCGAGGCGGGCCAGCGCCGGCGAGGGCAGCGGGGCATAAAGAGGCTCGCCCACTCCTGCAAAACGGGCTCCGGGTCCAGGAGGGAACTTCCCCCCGCTCCCGGGAGAGAGACGGAGGAAACTGGAATTAGCATGAGCCAATGAGGCCGCGGCGCTGTTACTAGGCGGACCGGGCAGATCTCGACAAGGAACTGCGTTGATTCCCAGCTCAGGGACGGGCGCAAAAGTGCAAGCCTGGCCGGCAAGCGTGAAGAGCCGTCCAGGAACCGGCCCGGGAGGCGCTGGAATTTGGGGCCCAGCGGGGAGCGCCAGCCGCCCAGCCCCCACCCTGGGGAATCCTGCTAGGCGGCCCCCGGAGGCCCTAAGGGGACCAGCTGCCCCGGACCTTTGGGGGCCATTGCTTCAAGAAGCGCAGAGGAAGCATTTTGATATTTTTCCAAAGAAAAAAGCAACTTTTAAAAACTTTTTTGTTGCAGTTTTAACTTTGCATTGTCTTTAAAAAACCCACCAAGAAGCAGGAACTGCGAAGTCTGCGCTCATTTAAAGTGCTCTGCGCTTTTTCCTTGGCGACCATTAGGAGACAAAGGGCCAGTGGCCCAGTCGGGAGGGGTGACCGCGTTGGTTGGAAAGAAAATCCAAACGTAATTTAAATCACCGTCCCGCTTTCCTCGCCCCTGGGCCCCTGCCCGAGTGACGGTGGCCGGGGCGGATGGTTGGCCCAGAGAGGGCGAATTCCGCTGCAGGCGCGTGTTTGCCACCGTCCCTGGCTGTGGGAACCTCCATTCAAGCGGGGGAAGGGAGCGCGTTCATTCAGGAACGGGCGCGCCAGGGCGCAGACCCCAGGACGCGCCGCTGCTGCTCGCTGCCGGGTGCGGGGCTTTGGGGAGGGGGGTGTGGGAGTGCGGGTCCCAAAGCCGACCTTCCGTGGGCGACTTCCGGCACCCGCCCTTCCCCCTGGAGGACCTGGGCGGCTGGCAGGCAGGCGCACCCAGGTGGGGTCACCTGCAGCCGCATACCTGGCGGCAACTTGAAAGGACTTGGCTCCTGCTCTGCGAGTTTTCCACTGTTAAGCCCTTAAGTCGCCCGGGAAAACGCTTCCGAATGCGGGCCCCAGGGTTCCGGGGGCGCTCGGGCTCCCCTTCCCCCACACTGCTCGCTTCTGGGGTGTGCGTGGCGGCCCACGTGTTGCGGCTGCTCCGCTGGAGCTCTGCGGCGCGGATCGCCGGCGCCCTAGAGGTGCGGGGTAGGCTGGCGCGAACTCCGGCTTGGGTGCCCATGGGGACAGCCCCACCCCCATGGCCCCAAGCACGGACCTCCGTTTCCATCCCCGATCAATTAATTTCAGCTATTAGTTAACACACAGCCATCCGCCACCGCGACTAGTCATCCGTCGGGCTGGCTGCGTGGGAAAGGGACCCCTCCCCTAGCTCGGAAAGCTGCGGACGAGGTGTGCGCGGGAGTTAAAAAGCAAAACCAACAGGTAGGGGGGGCACCGGCTCCAACGACGCATCTGAGATTCCAAGGGTGAAGGTGCAATTCCCGGGGGTGAAAAAGACTCTAGTTCCTCGACCCCCGCCCTCAAAACGCATTGCCTCGTGCCCTGGGAAGCATGAACCCCAAAGTCCACTGGCAATTCCCTGGCCTTGCGGCTCTGGCCCGGGCCCGTTTCTGACACAGTGGCAGGGAGTAGGCGCCCGGATCGAGGAGAAAACCAAAGCAAAGCAATCGGGTGGGGGTGGGGGTAATGACCTCGGAGGTCACGTGTCGCCTTCGTCTCCCGAGGTCAAGCAGGGCCGGGGCCCACCCGAAGCTGAGCGACCTCCGCGCCGCAGCGGCACTCGCGGGGCCTATGAAACTTGCGGCGACGACTCCGGTCAGGGGATGCACGCTAAGACCCTCGTGGGCTCCCACAGCGTCCTAGACCCCGGGATTTGTCACTTGATCCCCACTCCCCACCCCGCCCACCACCACTGCCCTTCCCGAAGACTGTCTTCGGGGAAGACCCCGCATCTCCGCACCCCTCCAGCCTGCTCCTTAAAGCCCTGGAAATACCGGAAAGCGCTGGCCCTGGGGGTGGGTGGAGCGAGGGCCGGGGTCGTTATTATTGGGGAACCTCCGAGTTCTGGGTCTCTGGACGCTTACCAAGGAGGGGAGGGAAGGGAGTTTTTTCCAGGTGCGGGAAGGGGGTTGCCTGCCTAACGCCCTGCACCCTCCCCTGGGGTCCCTCGGCCCGCGCCGTAGGGGCTGGTAGCGGACACAGACTCGGACCCCTTGCCGAATTCTGCACTCGGGAGGTCCGAGAGACCAAGGGCCCGAGGGTCCGAGGGCCGCGCTTTATCCCCGAGCCCCTCCGGGGTGTTCCGCCGGGCTCGTCTTTCCCCAGCGAGTCTCACGTGACCGGACTGGGGCCAGGGCGAGGGACTGGGGAGGCGAGAGCGCGCGCCGTGGGACCCTGGGCTGTGGCCCGGGAGCCGCGCGAGGCCGCGCCGCGCATTCCACGCATTCCCGCCGGGCCTCGGTTCCGCCGCCACGTGGTTGCCCTGCGTGCCGCGTTTACCGTAAGGCCTGGAGAAGGCGCGCACCTGCGGCAACCGAGCGCAGCGGACCTCCCAGGGCGCGGGACGCAGAACAGGCGTAGGGACTGCTTTCTTATCTAACAAGGAGAGTTGTACTGCTGGGATGAGAACGTGTTCGTCTGTAAAGACAAGCAGGAACGGGGGTGCTCAGGCCCTTCTGGCGTGTGTAACAGATTGATCGTCTGAAGAACGCGACAGAACCAGACCGGTGACCATTACGCCTTCCCAGCGGCGGTGGAGCACAGAAGGGAAGCTGCCGCTTTCTGATGGCTTTTCCTCTCCTTTTCCTTATTATTTCAAAATCAGCCGTGGGCAGTCCAGGGTATGTAGTTGGAAAGCGCAGACCAGAAGGTGGTTAACGATGGGAAAACGTCCAGAAACTGGCTGTAACTATTACCAAAAAGTCCTGGCCGGGCGCGGTGGCGACACCTGTGATCCCAGCACTCTGGGAGGCCGACTTGGGAGAATCGGAGGAGATGAGTTCGTCACCAGCCTGGGCAACATAGCGAGACCCCGTCTCTACCAACAACAACAACAAAAAAAAAATAGAAAAATCGGCCCAGCATGGTGTGCACCTGTAGTCCCAGGTATTCAAGAGGCTGAGGCAGGAGGATGGCCTGAGCCCAGGAGTTTAAGGTTGCACCTGAGCTATGGTGACCCACTGCACTC